TACGCTTGTCCTCTGCGATCTAAGAACGCATAGTAACATTGCTGCTCTTCCACAACCGGAATGGCGTGGAATGCCTTTGATAAGTCGATCTTCGCCAATTCTCGTTTTCCAGCCGCCCAGGCCACTACAGGGCCTATAGCTTGCATATTCGGAAATTTTCCCTCATCATTAGTGTAGGGATACAAGGATTGGCAGTTGTGGGTCACTCTTTCGCCCACGACATGCGGGTTCAGCAGAGCCTTGACTTCGGTCTTCTCGATCTTCGCGATCGTGCCGTCAGTCAAGCGATCATCGATCCATTGGTCGTAGATCCTGGCATCGGCTCCAGCGAACCTAGGGGTGTGCCATCTGATCTTAGGGCTACCCTCTATGTGCTCGTTGAAGGCCGGCAGTAACGTAGGATTTTCTCCCCGAGCCCCCTGCGGCGGGGCAGCAAGAGATCATGAAGATCGACTTGTCGAAAGCTTTCCATGCAATACCGATTGCAGACGACCAAATGAACTACTATGCGTTCATGGGTATGGACGGCACGACGTATAGATATATACGCATGCCAATGGGAGCAATGTGTGCCCCCAAACACTTCGCCGTAGTAATGATGAAAGTGTTGGGGCAGCTGTCCGAGAAAGATAAGACTGCTGTAAGATCTTATCAGGACGACATTATCGTCGCGGGGAAGAACAGAAAAGAGTGCGCAGATCGATACCATAGAGTGATACGTCACCTACGTGAATACGGCTTCAAGATAAACAGAGAGAAGTCGTCGATGTGCACTACGCTGATAATACTTGGTTATGAATTTACGAAAGAGTCCATTGGGATACCCAAGGACAAAGCTGAGCAAATACGAAAACTGTTACGTTCACAGTGCGTAGATGATATAACGAAAGCAACACATCAACTGTCCTACTATAAGATGATCCACAGGACGGGCGTTCGAAACTCACTCACGAAGATTCGACAAATATTGCAGAAGACAAAGCACGTAACGAACGTAGTGAAAGATTTGATAGACGCAGTCGATTCTAGTTGGACGATCGAACGGATACGACCAACAGAGGGAAATACGATTTCGATATATGTCGACGCGTCGGACATACAAGCAGGGATGGTGGTAAAGTACAACGAACAAACGGTTATGACGGAATCGATTCCGTTAACCAAGACGTTGACGAACCTAGCTTCGTACAAGGAAATTCAGGGAGCATGCAAGCTGCTAGCCAAATACAAGTCGGCGATCGACTTCATTGACAAGAGGGCGAGCAAGATTATTGTGACCGATAATATGCGCCTATGGCAGGCCCTTGAGAGAAATGAAGAACCGAGAAACGACTTAGAAGTATACGCAGCGCGCATCCGAGCCTTGTACAAGGCAACTTACCAGCACATTCCAGGAGGCCAGAACCCGGCCGATTTTTATTCCAGGAGACACCGTCTCCCCACTTGAAAAAGTTTTTAATTATTCAACATCATAATTTTTCTTCGAAAAGAAAGTATTTCTTCACTGAACTCTGAACTTGAATTGTACAACTCGCGCAATGGTTGAGACTCGTAGTACCGTGGACCTCCAGAAGGAGGCCACTAATATCATACTAGAAGCCAATAAGTCCGGCAATATGGACATTTCACGTATACAGGCAGTTCCCCCTAAGATATGGG